CTTTTCTGAAATTCATAATATGCTGAAAATGAGATAACTAAGTATGATAATAACCTGTTATTTAGCTCGCGTATTGTAAATTAATGACACTGAATGTATCCGATATGCCGCGTAAATGGCATAGTTGTTTAGTTTAGATAAATTTTAACCAATCCATCTCCTGATCCGATCTCAATATATTAGACTTTTGATATTGAATTCACATAATATTCTTATTGCCCTCTGGGAGTACAGCTGTACTTCATACATTGAAACACTATCAGCGATGCTTCTCCACCTCCCATTAAGCTGCATTTTGTGTTTTCCGAAAAAAAATGTTTATAAACCGGCAGTTGACTTCTGAGTACAAACTACCATCACCCCACTGTATGTCATATTCGACTACTTCCAAAGTACTCACCTCACCTTTTTTCTATCTTTCCTACCTTCGTCTTTGAAACACTCTTCTGTTCTCAGCCCCTCTCAACTTTTTTTCACTTTGATGTTCCTCCTCCTCTCTGTGAAGCCTGAGTCAACTAGAGTTTTAATGATAACCATCAGAACGCCTGCCATTTGATATAATGTTTTCCAAAAATATATTTCTCCAAACTTTCCATCTTACATTCTTGTAATATTCGGACAAAATTTGAAGAAACAGAGCTGAAGTTTACTTTCCGTTACCAGACACCCTATTAAATAGATAACTTACTTGGGAGTGGATTTGACTTCAACTTTGGCCAAAATTTAGTGGAGTGGATTGAATTTCATGTTTAGACTGGCAAGTAGTTGAGCTCGCGTGTGTGTGTGTGTGTGTGTTCAACGTCAGGTATCTATTTCATGCCTCGAAAATGAGTTTCCAGAATCATGGTATTGAAAGTCTAACAATTGAACTGGCTTGTTTTGTTATTTGGACTGAAATTTACAATCCCAGTACTCATCATTTAGTAATTTAGGCATTTCCTTTAAAGTTATCAAATATATCATTATTGAGCTTACAAGAGACGTCTGAGGAACTGGAGATAATGTCTCAATTTGACCGTTTGAATAAAATCGTTTCAATACCTTCAGAGCGATAAGAATTGTGAACTTATGATGGATTTAAGTTTCACCACCTCTAGTTTGGCCTCCTTAATATTCAATTTTACAGCATCATAATCTAAGGCTTCATTATTTGCGGAGGACCTGTGAAGACAAAAGAGCTCACTCGATTCGTCTTGCTATGAATTAAGTAAGAAACGCTTTATGCAGACCTACACAAATGTGAAATTCGATTCTTTATAACGAGTCATTTCCATTGCATACTGCTTGAAGATTATTCAAGGCTTTTGAAGACGCTGTTCAGATTGACAAATTCATTAATCAATAAAGTCTAGGTCATCTGCATATTCAGGATAACTCAAAGACCGTTCAACTAATAACAATTAAAGTACTTTGTGATAATTGTCTATTATAATGGACTATATTCCAAGAATTTTTCAAGACTGTTCAATTGTGGAGTTGAATTACCCTTATTTCTCCCCAATATTTTTCAATTGAATTTTAAATTTAGATGTGAGAGTCTGCGTCCAAATGAACAAAAAATGTAATAAGTCTGCAGCTATCTTTGAGTTAATAGACCAAGTATGTAATTTATGAATCAACAGGGAGCTCAATATTTCGAGAGTATGAAATCAATATAATACATTTTATCATTTTTGGAACATTAGGTATGTCGTCGTTATCGAATAAATGGTTTTAGTAGTATATATATGCCTAAAATAGCTAATAAAGCTTTATTGTTTCGATTGGTGCTATCTTCTGAATAGTTCCCCTTGGCGTCAAAAAAATTCAAGCAAATGCCACAATTTAAGAGTTCTGTCACGCTAATCAAAATATTCACGCAAGCTAAATTGTTTGAAGCATTCGTCACTTTGTTGGAATAGCTAAGCAGATTTTTTTCATTTTGGAATTCACTTTATTTCCTTCAGGCCCACCCAGTTCCCCCGTCGATGTAACCATCGACTGTACGCAGGCGGCCAAATGCGGCACTGCGCTCCTTTCATGGACCCCTGGAAGTGAAAATAACGCAGCGATTACTGATGTGCAAATTGAATACATGACCGGCTACGTTCGCCCTCTATCAAACTCTCCACCCGAAATTTCTCAAACGAATGGATTGCAAACTGCATTTGATTCGAGAGCTATTTTTGAGGCTCTCAATGTATCACTGTTGACAGATAAATGGCAAATTCTTAAACACGAATTAGTGGAAGATGGTGGATACTCCTCGGCGTTGTGTAAAACGGATAAGGCTGATATCGCTCTCATTAATTTAACCGAGAAAGTGGCCCTTGTTCCTATTTACCCAGATGTGGCCTATCAGTTCCGAGTGCGGCTAATAAACCGAGTCGGTATTTCACACGCAAGTCCACCAACCCCTGGCTCAAATGAAGTGGAACAAAGCAAATGTCTCCTGAAACCACAAGCACCCACCGTTTATCCTCAGGATTTAAAAATATATGGAAACGTGCCAAATACACTTACCGTTACTTGGAAGGTATGTTCATATTCATTTTGGTGAACCATAACCTATGCTTACCTAGATGTTTATTTGATAATTCGATGATTCAAGAGCTTACTCAATTTGAGACAAAATATTCACTTTAGCGAAATCAGGTAATTAATTATTTTTTGAAGCACTAATACCCGGTATCTTGGGTCAACTTTTTAACCCAACATCCTTTATTCATGTAAAAAAAGACAAAAATTGTTTGATTGAATGTAATCGTGAATTAATTTTTTGATTCTAATAGGCCATTAATTTGATAGCGTTTTGAGAGCCAGTTTCTTGAAAGATCGTCATTTAATCCGATTTCACTAAGAATGTGTGTATTGACAGTAAATATTCAAGGTTTTATTGGCTAACGCAAAATTCGCTCTACCTAAACTGCTCTCGTATTTCTTATTTCTGGAATTACGAGAGACATGTTGTTTACAAAACCACCATATATCATTTCCATTATTCTTAGGCCAATTTTAAATGAAATTTATTAGTTCTGCATTGTGATTTCTGCCATTTCCGAGTCAGGTTTCGCCACGATAGATTCTGCAATCATTACTAATTAATGATTAATGGAAGTATTTGACCCAAATAAGTTAGTCCAACTTATCCTGTTTATTCAGAAGTGTCAAATTCAGTAAGGTATTTTTTAAAGAAAATTATGCCTGAGATGAGGCGTATTCATATTAGCCTGTGGGTTAAATACATTTAAATCTATAAGCAAATAAAACGTCACCAGAATTGACCAAAAAACTCCTATCTTGCTAGTATAGTTAATTGCCTACTAATTTCATAACTAGCGGTCTGCACATACAAACATATGACATATAGTAAAATCTTGAGTTTTATGCATAAACCAACATTTACTTTAAGCAGGCAATTTCAACGCTCGACTTTATTCGAGTCTGATCTTGCATCCAATTTAAGTAATATTTATTTCTTAAAACTGTTGCAGCTAAAATTCTCCACCAATTTTTTTAAGACTGCTTATAAAACACAAATTGACTAAAAAAGATGTTCTGATTGTCTTGCCTCAACAGCCAATTCCTCCAATCCGACACAATGGACCAGGTCTGCGCTATCATCTCAACGTGAAATGTCTTGATTGCGAACAAAGCTCCGAGGGATTTAACGAGACAGAAATAAACAATTGGAATCAGAGTCAAATAGTCTTTACAAAACTCCCACCTTTTGACTTATTCAGTAAACAATTACCTATCGAAATCTTCAAACAGTATGAAGTAAGTTAGTTTCCAACTTATTAAATGAGGTGTAAAAAGACTTTCTGCTTGTCTCATCTCTTCGCCTACTAGATTCTAACAGATATGTATATTTGTAATTGGGTCGTTGATGCTATGCTATTGGGTAATTGTTTAAGGAATAAAAGGTTCTTCGTATAAGAGACCGTGTAAAGCTAATCCTCTCTTCCTCACAGACTAGTAGACAAAGTTCGAAAAGTAGCTAGAGTTGAATTTTTATAAATACCCACAAAATGTGGAATAAAAAACCAATATGCGGCCATGAGCAAGGCTTGTCGACATTTCAACGAAAATGCTCTCATTCCTATGTTACCTCCGGTTCTTCGTGATATTAAGATATTCCTTGCCCATTTCGTAACTACTTAAGATACTTTTAAATAAATTCATCCACACCTCTGCACATACTAAGATAACTTTGACTTAAATATCGTTAATAAGAAGTATTTGAATTTATTGTCTTCATTGTAACCTGGATGCTACCATTTCACTTTGTGTCCGTTATCCAGATCCGAATATGCGCATTCGCAAACGCCCTGTCAATCACGCAGAGTTTCAACAGTTTTAACTCTTTGATTTTATTTGTAGCAATTGCTAAATGACATTAACTCCTAGTAGATGCTTTAATTTGTATCTCAGTCTCGGCTACTTTTTACAGCTCAATGATACCAATTTTTTCAATCTATAATTTACGAAACCTTTTAGTGGACCTACCATTTTCTTTGTCCTAATAAATGGGTAATTTACTAAATCGTGCTGTGAATTTATTATTCAATTTCTTCTTTTAAAAATTTCAATATATGTATATATATGAATATTTAGACATTTTTTATGAACACATAGAAATGGCAACCGTAGCACTAAATCGAGAATGTTCCTTTTTAATTTCGATTTCATGAATGTAACAAAAACTGTTATGGATCAAATCTCATTAAACCATTAGGAAAACGGGAGGAATAATAACTTGAAATTAACATTTATTCAGGGTTTTACTGTGGATGCTTTAAGTTTTTATATTTTCCACCCAGTAGCTTAAAAGAATAGTAGTCATATGTGACATTTTCATGAGAGGTCACACGTGGATGAGGGTAGACGCCCAAGTTCAAAATACCTTCACCACCAAACACTGCGCTATCCTACCCATAGATAGCATGTGATTTATTTGCATAAGAGTACTTCATTACCTATTCAATTATTTCTGCTAAGCCGTTTGATCATTACTAGATGCTTTTGCTGGTGTATTCCACTATTCCAGTAGAGATTTTATAAAATTTTCAATAACTGCGAAGTTTCACTTATTTTACTGCAATGTATGTTCATCTCTGAATCGAGCGTAGTGATGCTCATATCTGGCAATTTTTATAATCCTATTTTGAAATTGAAAAAAGCAGAGAAAGTAAAAAAATGGATTTCCAAACAGGTATGGTTAGTACGAAGATCTGTGGAATTCGAATTTAGGCACCATTTTTCTTCCTACGCATATACACGTTCCAATCCCAGCTGTCAAATGCTAAAAATACATTGCGTCTTTATTCGATTCGCAAATATATTTGACATCTAACATAAAGAATTCCTTTGGAACGTCCAGTTTAAATATAGAATGGTTGAGATTTAGGTGTAGTAGATTAGATCAGTAACACAATTTAAGTAGTAGGAAGCACAGAATCGGCCTCCACAAGTACAAAATGCAATTTTACTTTATAGGTTAGTCTGATTGTATCAAACGCTCTTGGCCTAAGTAAGGCTGGTCCTGCTATATCTAAAGGTTGGTCTGCCGAATATCCACCAACGATAGCTCCGAGCAGGCTTCGAGCGACAAGCGTCGACTCTTCTGCAGCAGTTCTAGTTTGGGATTGGCCCTCAACTGACCCCAAATTGGTAAATGGATTTTTTGTTGGACTTCGATTGGAATGGTGCCTCAATGAAAAAGGCCAAATGTGCGATCGCTATAAAGTTACTCAGGTACGCAATTATCTACTCAACTAGATTGAATCGGTAAATGATGTTTACTTTTCGGTGAATGTAAAAATACTCAGCATCATTATAGTTTCTCTAACACAAAATATTAATATTTTATTTGGTATAAAAATAAAATATATAAATACACTGTTTTACTGCTCCTATAATTATATATAATCACATATATTTTGAAGGAACAAATGATACCCTAAGCATATTTTTATTAAAAAGTATTTGAAAGGCTCACAACGCCAACTTCCACTAACGCTTTCATGCAGTCAGTTATCGATTAATATAAAGAAATTAAGTGGTATATCTTATTACAGTCTGCATTTGATCTGAATGTAGAAAGTTATTTAGTCTGTTTGTTAAAAAAAACAAATCAAATTTTGGATTATAGAGAATGTTTTTACATATTTTTTTCATAGAAGGAAAGGTCTTAAATTGATTCAATTCCGTCCGGAATGATTTATCACTAATTTTAATTTTGGAAATATTCATCAAATCTTTCGTCAGTTTACGTAATTGAAGTCAATTTATACTAATCGAACTGACTAGTTTTTCTAAAGCAGGTAACATTTATCAGTATTGATTTAAGGCAACACATTCTGGGTCGACGAATGAAATGCCAAGGTATTGATAAATACCTACGAGAAATTTTGCAATTGATATGATAACGTTACATCGAGTGTATAAATTTAGTAATTTCCAAATTGAATTACTAAGTTAAAGCCTAAACGATAGCAAGATTAATAAACAACTCACTCTGTACATAAATTCCCACTGATTTGCTGCATAGAGCAAATAATATAATTGATGCTGTCGCTTACACATTTTACTTAATTTTTTAGGATGTTCGAATAGCTGAACCATCAATGGAACTATATCCGCATCTTCGAATCGATCCGTCTGATTCCTATTCAAGAAAAAGTGAAGATTTTTCACTTCCAAATTTTACGGAAAGCGGGCTATTTAAATCGAATCCTATTTCCTACAATCAACACCGACAAGCCGTTCTTAAAAATCTACCTGGGTTAAGCCATATTAGGGCCTGGGTTCGAGTCCTCAACATTCAATACGAAGGACCTAGTAGGTAAGTTGTTCAAACTATATAGTTTTTACCTAGTTTGGGCACTTTTACATTGAGAGGTCTTCGACATTCAGAAATGAAACTGGTTCATTAAATACTTATCACATTGTCTTAAATGTTCCAATTTAATTTCCAAAGCACCAATTTTGAGACTGTGCCAATATATTTGGCCAAGCATTTATAATAAATTGAGCAAATAAACTCCTTCCAAGCCAAAGATGTGAGGTGTTGCGCAATTAATTTCTTTCCAATTCCACTGCAATGCTAATTAAATTCAAATAGGCAAAGATTACTTATGGAATATCGTTTGAACACGCGAAAAGGAAATTAATTAAGTTACACCTCGTATGGATATTTTTAATTTAAAATTATAAATTATAAAGCAATGGCACATTAGCGATCGAATTTCTTTCTGGAGAAAATTAGTAAACTAGGGTGAACTGTCTCTTACGTGGGACTTACTTGGTGATGAAATGAATTACCCGAACCATAAATTTAATTTTTTTCAAATTTTCATTGAATTAACCATATGCCAACAAAGAAAAGGAACTCAAAGTGGGTTCTTTCGTAGGAGATTAAATGTGTAACTGGAAAAGATTTCACCTTCAAAGCCTTTTGACATTTTAAGCCTAAGTGACTTATTATTTTTTGCTTGATTAAAATAGATTTTACTATGCAATAGATTATTAAAAGTTTATCTTCCAGTCAGACTCATTGCTTGTCTAATGATTCCGAATTACTACTCTAAGAAATATTTTATATCCTGAGCCTGATGTGCTGGAAGAAAACTATGAAGATTCAGAAGCACATCTTAACTCGCATTAAGCGGCATTAGTTGTGAAAACCGCACAAACATTAAGGCGTACACAGGGGGAGTTTAGCTGCAACCGGAGCAAAGTTGTTGCTTGCACTAGATTGGCGTTAGGGCTGGGGGGGGGGGTAGAGGCAGGACATCAAATATATAGAGACCAGACTGGTGTGGGCTGATTGGAGCCGGATAGCAATTCACTACACCTCTCCTCCTTCAAAGTTGTTGTCCAGTGGTCATCGAAGTGAAGGCCATAAAAGTGATATTTAATGTTCAGAGAAGCTTGATCAATAGAAGTAAAATCTTGTTGAGACAAGAAATAAGTAAATAAAATGCCTTCATACATTTTTTTGCCTTTAAGTGAGGTAATTCTCATCCATACCAAGGAGGGTGTACCCGAAGCAGTTAGTGAATTTACTCATTCCTTCGCTGGTGTCAACTATGTGGAAGTTGTCTGGACTAAACCTATTCAAACAAATGGCATTCTTACCGGCTACCTCATCGATGTAATTTCAGGTATATTCTTTTTGCTAAGTAACATTAATTCAGCTTCATTATTTGATTGTACAAAGTTATAGACTGAGGGAATCAATCCAATTCGAATCTTTTTCCATGTTACCACTCAATTTAATCCTTTAAATAGCACTCGTCTTTATCATTCTATTGGTTTCTGGAAAACATATGTGATCACATGACAACCGTAATGTGCTGATTGTTTTCCAGTATTGATTTCTTCCTACGTATTAAAAACCCACAAATATGTCTCAATACGTAATGCACAAATTATTTTATTTAAATGGAATTATTTTGCAACTAATAAATGCTTCACACTGTGCGAATGATTTCTGACTAAACCTTAAAGTTGTATAAAATGGAAGAGAAATTAAACTTTATTACCAAACTCTTTATAAAGTAACAGTACTCTTTAATATGCTTTCAAATTATGCCCTAACATCCTTGATAGATGACTCTTCAAATTTTCTCAAACCATTCTCCTAACACTTTCTCTTTGAGAATACCTCGCTTCATCCTTCCACTGATTCTCATTTTTGACCTTATTTTCCTTTGGAACAGCCCACTTCTATCATGTCTTGACGAGTTTATCTATTCTCATTTCTTTTCTTGACTGTTTCGTTTTATTTAAAAAACGATCAACACACTTGCGCCCCAAACTTTCTTGCCCAGTGATTCATATAATCTGTCTATTTATTTCCTAATGACATATACACACTCACTCTTGCCGTTTACCTGTTTTCCTCCTCTCTATTGATTCCTCATCACTTTTAATTCAATTCAAGTTCCAGTTTCTTATTAGAATAGTTCCTAGCTTCTTAGATTCGTTAGTTAATACAATTTGATAATTCCTCAAACTGGTGAGTATCGATTTTGTTAAGCCACCAAATAGCCCGCCTTTTCTGATCATGCGCTTTTGATTCAGACAAAGGAGATTGCGCGAAAAAGAATGAAGCATGCGAGTTTATCCTCCAGGAGAAAAAGATCTCAGATCCAGATCAGATGGCAACGCGAATTGGTGGTCTTGAGATCAGTACGTCTTACAGACTGAGGATTAGAGCACTTACGGCCGTCGGTCCTGGGAAACCAAGGGAATTGAAAGTTCACACTGCTAAACTAAAACCTGGTATGTTGATATTGAATGTAAGATAAAAATATATGTATAATGAAGAGTCAATTATGAATTCCCCACGCACTACTGAGGTGAAATCTGTGGTAACCAGCTTTGCAGAGTCTGACCTCGGTACAAGCCTCCTTTGGGGCATGTTGTTTTGCCTACTTTGAGCATCTAATCATTTAAAAATGTCAGTGAATTAGAAGATATTTATTTATACCAAATGGCAGGCTTTATGATAGTCATCATTAGCCCTTTAGTTGACTTCAGGCTTCACAGAGGGAGAGGGACATCAAATCGAAAAAAGTCGAGAGTGGGGGGGGGAACAGATGAGTGTTTTAAAGATGTAATGGAGGCAGACACAAAGGAGGATGAAAGATGAGGTGAGTACTGTGGAAGTAGTCGAATATGATATACAGTGGGGTCATGATAGCTTGAACTCAGAAGTCAACTGCCGGTTTAAAGACTTTTTTGTCGTATGAGTATACGTTGCCCAGGGTGCACCACGTGGAGGTAAGTCTATCGCACACCCCGAATTAGAAGATATGATTTCTGGGATTTTTTTAATTCTAACTACGACACAGAGGCCTGACATTTCTGAAACAAAACATGCATTCTAAGCATCAATTACTGGTAAATCAAAGACCATCGAAGAGGAACAAATTATTTTAAAATATCTTCTCTAAGAGACTAAATCTTGTATAGAATAAGCCTTTCATCTATTTTGGCAAGTCAGGTGCCTAACCCATTAATGGCGCATCGAAATTCGGCATTCGGTACAATACTTGAAAATAATTACTAGAAAGCTTTCATTTCAGAAACCAATTCGCTAAAATAGTTTTTCTTATTTACTTTACATAAAGTATAGTACTTTACATGCTTATTATTCATTTGCGTTGCCTGTTGATTCATTCCACTGATTTGCAACTGAAAGAGTGTCTTGAATCTCACTTTTTAAATATGATAAATGAATAGAACCTGGAGTTGAAACTTAAAAAAACATGTTTCCTATTGCATAAGTCTTGTCTGCATAATTTCGCTATTAAGAAAATTGGTGCTACAACTCAATTAATAATTACTCCCCTAATTGGTTGGAAAGGGAAAATCAAATTGTTTTTAATAAATCTATATATATATATATATATTTAAAGTCAAACCAGATCATAGGCCAATCAATTTTCAGGCTTTATCTAATTCCTTAAGTAAGTGTTTTGATTCAGACTAATTTAAATTCTAAATGATCTCATACTCTTGTTGACCTCTTAACCATTCACTTATCAACGCCTGTAAAAGACCTATCGTGACGTTTGTGGTAGTGGGATTCTTCACCACTGGAAAAAGGTTTTTGCCAAAAAAACCTACTTTATTTCCACATGAGCGGTATTAATTTTTCGTAAGTCTTATGTTATCCCGTGGTCATTTGCTACAATTATAAAAAAATCAAAGTTGAGCATATACTTGCGAAATAACTAATTTAAATATACGGCAATTAGAAATAAGGGAAATTGAAGGTAAATTCAGCAGATGAAATATTCACTTAATTGCGTATTAAGAAAAAAGGTAAATCAATTTTGTAATAAAAACAAAAACAAATAAATTTAAATTTAAAAATAATCTTATACCCCACTTTATTTTAATTTAATAAAATAATTCATCCCCGGACTTTTCCCTTGGATTTAAATAAATTTGGCTCAATATTGCTGTAAAACCTTCGCATTAAGATTCCAAAACGGATTATGGACAGAAGTTAAGGCAATTTTCCTTGACATTTTCCATGGAACTTCTAAGCTTTTGATTTAAAGCACTGATAGTAAAAGACAGTTGACTGAATTTCTATTTATTGGGAAAAAGAAAAATGCATATCAAAAACAGAAACTTCAAAAGACACTAAAATTTAACATTTTCCCTTTAAATCTAGCAAAGTCACCGGCTGAATTTGTTGTTTCTCCCGTGTACGGCTCAACAAACACTCTCAATGTAAGTCTGATTCGGCCAATAGAAATTTCCAACAATTTGAATGGTGATAACAAATACCCCCTTCTGCAACGGGATGATGCCCTGCTTGAACCGGGTTCATCGTCTCTTATTGAAAACACCGGTCAAGATGGTGTGCGCGCCTTTTTAGTACAGTTCAAAAAACTGCAGGATGAACAGTGGGAGGAGACAGAAAAGGAGTTTGATAAAGATTGGCAGCTTGTCGGAAATTTAATTCCAGGTAAGACACCTATCGGAATTCATCCTAATTCTTAGAAATTCTGTTCTCCTATCAATACACTGTACAACATTTACATTTGAAACTTTCCTTGATATCTTATTTGATTGACCCTTAATCTGAAATGCATTGGGAGGTTGACCTTATCATTTTGAATACCTTAAAAACTTATTCGATTATTACTATTCTACATTCATTGGTACTACATGGGAGCGAATTTTTGTATTTGCTTCCAATACTGTTATATGGGCTTCAATCTAAATAACATAATGTGTTGACTTCATTTTGCTTGTTTCAAGCAAAGTCACTTTATATTTATGTAAGTCTTTTAAACTGAAATGCAAAAATTTTGCATTCATATGATTTAAGAAAGGTTTAAATAATGGAGAGCTTTATTAATTCTTTACAAAAGCTTAAATAGAAGGTTTGAACATCTACGACTTTCTATTCTAATAATTAATAGATAAAATAAGTTGATTTCGCCTAATTTATTGCAATATATCATCTTTGAAAAAAATTTACTTTACACACATCAACTTTAAAGGTGAAGAATATGATATGCGGGTGATCCTTACACAAAGTCCATCAGTATCCTACGTCAGCCAGGTGCGGATGCTGAGGGTACCTCGACCTGGAGAAATTGGATTTGGCCTCTCAGGGGGTGTAGTCACCACTCTTCGAGAAAATCCACAACTGGCTGTTGGATCTGGTGGTGTATTCGGAGACGGCTCTCTTGTGCTCAAAATCTTCGTCCCACTCGCAGTCGCTCTCTTTCTCATCGCTCTCATTTTCACCTCACTCTTCTGTTTCCGTGGCACCAAGTTTAGGCGACCTATGCCGCGTCGAATGAGGGCACAAAAGTCCACATCTTCCTCTATTGTTGCTCATCGACTGAATGGTTGCCGAGTGGCTGATGAGAATTTTATTTCTAAAAAGTCACAACAATGTAAGTTCAAATCAAAGTATTCACTAAATGCGGATATTTTAAATGGAAAACACGAAGGAAATTGCTTGGAATGATTTCATTTAGATTGAATATTCATTTGCCCAGTCACAGTATATTTTTGATTATATCAACATATTGAATGCAATAAGATTTAAAAAAATCGATGTTAGGCATGAATAATTGTATGGAAATACTTAATTTATTTCTTATTGGGCCAATGCCATAAAAAACTCATCTTTTGAATTTTAGATGATCACGCGGACAACGCCTTAAAAGAATATATGGAAAAGGAGACTGTGTAAGCGAATTAAGTACTAATTATCCACTCACATTATTAAATTGACTTAAACCGACGTTGTCGACTCTTTATTCCCCCCCCCCCAAAAGCTTTGGAATATTTGATGTTATTCAAATGCCCTGAAAGCAATGGATTAGCAGAGCATGCTATAAAGCAGTTGATTTGTTTGATTGCTTTGCATTGGAGTCATTTTGAATTTTTTCAGGTGCATTGATAGTTACATCACACAGTAAATGGAAATTAACAATCAGTTATCTAACCTTTGTAAGCTGAAAAAAATATCATGTGCGATCATTAGACTTTGCAGCAATTAAAATTGGACTTTCTTGATATTTATTTATATCAAATGGGAGGATTTTTGATAGCTATTATTAGCTCTTTAGTGATTTCATCAAAGAGAGAAAAGATCGAGAGGGGGAACTAAAGAGTGATTCACTGATGTAAAAGAGGCAGACAGACACAAAGGTAGAGAAAAAGGAAAGGTAAGTACTGTGGTAGTGGTCGAATATCACATTCAGTGGGGTCATAGTAGTTTGAAGTCAGAAGTCAACTGCCAGTTTATATACTATTTTGCCGTATGGGTATACGTTGTCCAGGGTGCACAGCGTGGAGGTAAGTCCTTTGCTCACCTATCGTTCTTGATATATAAGCAGCCAATAGGTACTGGGTGTCGTTGAAACCCCCATACTACAATCAAAATGACAAATAGTTAAATTTGAAATAGGGAAAGTGCACTACTTATTGATTAATTATTAACTATTTCAAGTTCTAAAATTGAATAAAGGGAAATTCCTCCACTACTTCTCCACCAGCATCAGATTCACCTGGTCTGGCAAAGTGTGCTGTTATTTAACTTATCTTTAACATTATTAGGTCGCTTACTTTTAATCACTTAAAAATCTGCCACTTTTTCAAAATCTTTATAAGTAATGATGTAATGATCTTGTTTTTAAAAAAAACATATAAAAACTAAAAAAAAGTTAAATTGCTTCATTTCCTTTATATTTTAGTATATATATGCCAATTGGAACGACCGCAGTAAGCGGTACTTCAAACTCGGATCGTAATTGCGTACTTCAGGGTCGGTAACAATTAAATTAATTAGTGAGAGTATTTTTGGTTTATTGAAAAATAAAAACCAAGTTATACAACGTACTATATCGAATAAATATATAACCTTATGGAAACTTATTCAATACAAATGCTATTCGCAATTCCTAATCTTGAAAATCTCTTAGCGTTTTTAGTCAGTGTAACTGAAAGGCTCGAAGTAGTGAGTTAACTTTAATTGAATAATCTATCTGTGAGTATTGGGAGAAAGCGTGGTACGAGCGTGCTAAAAATATACACTTTGAGAGCATTCAATTAAATTTGCCTTTTTAGCTCAGGAGTTTAAAATAAAGATTTACACGGAATCCGTTTGCTTTCTACGCTCGGCTCTAAAGCAAACGGCTTAACTCCCGACACGCGCAGCCTGGAGATATTGAGTTAACCATTTGTTAGGCACAAACAAAATTTGATTAATTGTATACATGGCCTATATCATATTAAAGACGCAATATTAGTAGGCTTAATCATAGATAAAGTTAAAGTCAAATGAGAGCTGGAGAGACGCGACTTAAAATGATACTATGAAGCGTTATAAAAGAGATATTAACATTTTTAAATTTTTAAAATTTATGTTTTTAAGATATAGTTAGTGGCTAGTTCAGTTGGCTACTTTACCACCATCCCTTCCGTGTTCAAGATATTTTGGACGTAGTTTAGCTAAATAATAAAAATTTTGGGCTGAGGCACTCAGACTATATCTAGCGAGACTTCCTGGAGAATTATCAGGTTTTAGGATAGCTCCTATTCGTAAAGTTTCTTATACAGCATTAAATTTGCCTAATTAATTTCATCTTAGTATTGTTAATTCAAGTTATGTTCCAGTCAAAATGTCACCATTGTAGATTCCAGGAAATTGAAAGGCTGGTTTGATACCAGTGGAATAAATCCGCGCAAACAGCATTGCCATGTTCAACACCCCTCAACGTCCACATTCGCTCCCACCCGATGTCTCTCCCCATCCTTCACTCTGGTACCTCCGATGGAAAACTCAACTCCATGGCAACTAGCCATTACCAAGAAAGAAAATTTACCTTCTGAAAGACCAATTTAACGTAGGAGTCTACAAAATCGTTAACAAGACGTGGGGCTCTGAATACTTCCGAATATTCCTGTATCCTTTAATTGACCATTTATTCATTTGCCCATATCTCCGTACTAAATCATCTTGCTCAATTCCACGAAATTTGACCACTGTCTCCCGTTTCCTTTTCAATACTTTTATGCATTGTGATATTGTTTTTGAGAGAATACGTGCTATAGAACAAAATTTGGAATTAAAAGTTAAACGAATTGGTTAATAGCATCTGATTTTTCATTGATATTTTAATAAAATAAAGGATAATTCACTTTTTGAAAATGAGCCTCAATTTCAAAACTAGCATTTATTTGTTTAAAAGGCTTATAATACATGTTATCCCATTGGTATTGAAAAGTATTCAACTGAATTAAAAAAATATCTGTGCGAACATTGTTAGCCTTTAATCTTGAATTTCTGTGAAATCACTATGTCTGAATAGAATTTTCTTACATTTATTCAAGATAGAGAAAGGATTTTTAAATCATGAACTAATTATTGACAGGAGCAATTTTGGGAAAAAGATTTAGAGTGAAAATTGGCGGATTTATTATTGATCAAAGGATTTTATATTCTTTTTCATGCATTAATTGCTTTATTTTCGGACAGACTTTTTAGGGGAAAAATATATGTCACGTGGAATCAAATAACCTAAAATTGACCATTCTTTCTTACCAATTAAAGCTACTAATTTAAAATACTATCGTGGCGCTGAGTATTTGTAAATATTAAAGTTCAAAAGTCATCCATGTATTCAAAAATGTATAATTCCTGCGCATTTGCTTTCTAGGTGCAGTAAAAAACTAATCAGAGAATTTTGTGCAGATTTTAGCATAGACATTTTGCAGGCAGTCATGTTTTTTTTTAAATTATCGCTTGAAGTGGTCTGATTCCGAAATTGGGAAGAGGCGCTCATGTCGATTTTAATGTTTTACCCATTTAGCAACTTTTGATCCTACTTCTAGTAGAGTATGATTGTGTTATAAATCTAATTATAATAATAAAATTATTAAATACGAAATTGTCTTTTCGTTTTAAACACAATTTATCAGTGATCTTTGTATTCTTATTTTTTTGCCTTGCCTTTAATCTTCTTTAGAAATTCGAAATCCACATTTCTTCATAATAATTGATTTTACTTTGTGGTGGTCCTTCTTCTGAAAAAGAAACTGAATTTTCATGTTTATGCTAAATTAAAGACCATACTTTATCAACTAAAGTAAAAAATTCCGTATTTCCTCCCATGTTCGAAAATTAGATAATATGTTTTGCAAATCTCTTTAATAGCCAAAAGGGCATTTCATTTGCTAAACGAGATAATTTAATTGGTAAACTTACATAAATCTACTTATTCAGTCAAACTACTACCATTTATCCTATAGCCAAGTAGTGCAAGCTTTGCGTTCCTACGTATTTATGCCTCTGTTACAAGCAGAAAAGTCTTTCAAATTGGCCACAGTGGCCAGAACTAAAAAATAAACACTTCAAAGCTTAAAAGGTAGATTATTGTTTAAATTTGTAATTGAAACACCAAACTATTGAAATATTTAAATAAATCTAAATATTACAAACAATTAGCAAATTATCGTCAATTCTGTTTCCATTGGGTAAAGATGATTTAACTTCAACCTACACCTTTCAGTAAAATTTAGTTCTTCAACCGTATGAGGGTTGCCTCCACCTAGAATAACAACTAACTTTCGAGACGACAATTGCAGTTTCTTGATTCAAAAGCAAAAGGAGGCTCTATTTGTCTAAAATGATCTTTGTTTGAGTGCTTTTTGACTAGTGCGATATGTCTGTGTTACGTAAAACAAAGCTATATCTGTTGCCTGTACTGTAGAAAATAAGCGATCTCATTCACTATTTTGTCCCCTTCTAGGGCAACTAATTTATGATTAAATTTTAAAATAATTTGTCATTCTGGCTAAGAGCTTTATCTGAATATGGGAAAGGAGATTCTCTAATGGCAACGAAGTCAGCAAATTGAGTTGAAGAGAATTGGATGATGCAATAACCTTTGGCACGCCCTGATTAGCAAGCACCCTCAAGATGCTATGAATGATGTTGTAGTAGACTTAATAGATACAACCTGAGGCCACTTCGAATATGATTGCTCCCAGGACAAGGTAAGATATTGCTTAGATAGATTCAGCCAGATTGAGATTAATATGCAAATAAGGGGTTCTTGCTAAAAACGCGTACAGCCGTTTATTAAGCCTTAGCACAATTTTGTGTGTCGACTTTTGATTCTGTTCACTTGAAGTGAGAGATGAGTATGGCAAGACAAATTTCTTAGAGGTGTGCACTTTTATCTTTCATCGGTGCCACTCGATTAGCTAGGATAATGAGTAGGAGTTTAATTTAAATGCATTTGGAGAAGTAATATTTTTGAACGGCTTAGGAGTTTTGAGAGAGGTGGAAGTACGATAGTCCCCTTGCTTCCATCTAGGCAACATGTTTATTTTATCTAGTGATAAAGCACACAAGGTCTCGCGCTTGTTACCACATTGAAGACTAACTGTGTTGGAACAATTTGACGTAAAGAAGATTCCAAATAATTCTAGAGCGTCGTTACTTTTGCACTTTTTTTGACGGCAAATGCAACTTAATGTCATAATTGGACTAAATTGTTTCAGTTTTGCAAATACCCTTTTAAATATTTCACAGGGAATTTCAAAATTCATCGTTGACATTTTTTGGTTTCATCATTGTCAAGTCTCCTGGGATCGTAAATGCCATCACCTCATCAATGCTAAAAACTATTAAAAAAAATATAACTCAAAAATATCTTACAACAAAACTATGGGAGATGATGATCCTGAACTTTACCATATTTAAATAAGTGTTCTAAATTTTATAAATAGTTAACACCGCCTTGTTGGTAGTTAAAAGCATAGTAAGTCATTGTCATTATTTTTATCTTGAATATTGAATTTCCAGATTTAATCTCAATGTTCAGTAACGTTACTAAAAGGCATGCCGCAAGAATATATTTATTTCAAATGGCAGGCTTTATGATATTTATCATTAGCCCTTAAACTTTGAATTCAGCTTCACCCAAGGGTGGGGGGGGGCACATATATGGCAGTTCCTTAGCTGTCTTCTTGCTTCCAAGTATCTCTGGCTTTTCGACCTGGACACCGAACCAGGTGGGTCTTCTCCATTTCCTCTTGTAGGTTACATAGAGGGCATGTGGGTTGAGTGTATACTCCCAATCTGTGAAGGTGTTTTGCCAGGCAAACGTGTCCAGTACGTAGTCTAAACTCACCAACGGCTTCGATTCTTGGCCAGTCAGCTATGTCGGAGAGTGCCACTGTCCACTGTTTCTCCTTTCTTCGAGTTTTAAGTTCGTTGCACCTTGAGGTCTGAAATTCTCTTCTGATTAAGGCCTTCATTGTGTGGAAAGACATCGACTGGTCCATGCATTGCAAAATCGTTGTCCCCTTCTTAGCAAGTGTGTCAACAAGCTCATTGCCTTTAATGCCACAGTGACCAGGAATCCGTTGTAGGACCACTGTTTTGTTTTTCTCTCTCAGCAGCTGATAGAGTTTTCTACATTCCTTTATCTCAGCTGTTTTGGGTGGCTCTCTGCTTCCAATTGAGTTTATTGCTGACTGTGAGTCCGAAAGTATCACCGCTTTGGTGAATTTCGTATCCAGACAACATAGTTGGCCTAGTGTTATCCTAATGGCCTCTATTTCGCCTTCAAAAGCGGATCTATTTTGTCCCGCTGCT